TCATGAGTCAAATGCTAAGCATAAAACTGTATTGTTTTTCTTACATGTATATGGCCATGTCGGGACCTTTCAAGCGCTGCATGTCTTGCAATAACAAAGTGCCTCTTTCTGATGGCCGTTTGCAGTGCTTATTCTGTCTCAGAGAGGAGCACCAGCCTGCTTCGTGCTCCATTTGTAAAATTTTTACTAAGCCTGCTTTAAAGCAGAGACTTCAGAGGCTTTGTTCCTATTTGTGGGAGAAGTTGCTTTGCCCTGCAAGAACTTTGACTATGGAGCCGCCCCGAGCTCCCCTTCCCGAAACCTCTTCCACAACCATTCACTCCCCTAAGGCTACTCATAAACCAACGAAACCACCCTTCTCAGGCTCAAGATCGACCACTTCAATGTTGACATCGAAACCACCTTCAGCATCGATGCCAAAGAGGAAGAAGTTGTTTTCCAAGGCGTCTCGAACACCGGCTGAGTCTGTACCGTCGGCTACACTGTCACATGGCCAACATGATACGGTATCTCTCCACATACCGTCAGGGTGACATTCCTCCCTTGAGGCCAGAGTTGGCACCATCTCCACGCATGAGTCTCTCTCCCAAGTCAGCGGATAGCTCGGTTGAGATCCAGGGCTCCTGCATCAGGCCCATCCTTGATCCCTCGACCATATTCGGGACCAACTCCCCCGCCACCACTGTCACTGAGCGGGGCTTCACAGGGACCGGAAGAGGGGCCGGTCGAGGACCCGGTAGTCCAACCCAATCAATACTGCTCAACTTGAGCCTGGACGTTTTTTTCCCAGTCTCCTGACCATGAATGTTGATTCAACACCAGTTCAAGTGACCCTGATGTGGATGTTGATGATGATTCTCCCCCAAACATTCCAACTCCAACTTCAGATGTTACAGAAAGTCATCCACCACCTCCTTCTGAGGACTACACAATGTACTTGCACCTGATCAAAAGGATAGCTAAAGTTGTGGACCTTGCAGTAGTACAACCTCCAGCTGAACAGGTAGACAAGGTCTATGAGGACATCACAAATGATAAGGTGCCCCCACTTTGCTTGGCTTTTATATCATCCCTCCTCAGCCTGTTGAACGAACTCTGGGATGTCTACATCTCATCAAATCCCCAGGAGGGTTGAAAACCTCTATGAGACTCATGGCAAGGATACCAACTTCCTTTCTAAGCATCCTTTGCCAAATTCATTTATAGTCGACACAATGCAAAATAGGCGAAATAGGTCTACTTCTATGCCCAGTGATAAAGAAGGAAGGAAGCTGGATGTTTTAGGATGAAGAGTTTATTCCCTGGCATCCTTTATTCTTCAGGTGGCAAATTATATGGCAGCAGTGGGTGCATATCATCGCCATCTGTGGAACAGCATACTGCCCAAATTACAGGCTGCACCCAAGGACTTTAAGGCACCAAGCCTCACCTGCCATCAAGAGGCCATGTCATTGACACAACAAGAGAGGATCGCAGCCAGACATGTCGATGCCGCTGCCAAACAGGTCACCACAGCGATCACCTTGCATTGACATGCCTGTTTACATTCAGCTGGTATCCCTGATGACGGCAAGGCGAGGATCAAAGACCTACCCTTTGATGGCATGGGTCTCTTTGATCCAAAAACGGACAAGATTCTTGAGAACCTCTTAAAGCACCGCAAAACGGCCAGGTCTTACAGCACTCAATCACGTCCACGGACCACTTGGTGTCGACTTTACACTTACCGGCCCTAATCTGACCTACAAAGAAGGCAAACAACTGGCTTTGCAGATCAGTCTCGACAAAAAGCCTACTCGACAGTGGCCTTGTCAACAGGCCTTCTGCCAAGATTGTAGGCCTAAGCAGAATCTTTAATACTGTTGGCCCACCAGCAACATTGCCCACCTTGACTTGGTTAGCACCGTTCCTTCATGTTTGGGAGTCTATCACCTCTGACTCATGGCTTCTCTACACCCTGCACGGGGCTGCTCAGGGACACAGCTGCCTCCATAATACTACAACAGGAGGTTGACACACTTCTCTCGAAAGATGCCATTACTTTGGTTCATGACCCTGATATCACATGTAGTTTTTTCTCTTGTTACTTTATCATTCCCAAGAAGGACGGAGGACTTCACCCAAACCTCGACCTTCATCCCTTGAATTCCTATATTACACCTCAACATTTTTGTATGGTCTCCCTGGACACTATCCAGATGTTGAGGCAAGGTGATTGGTTTGTTGTTATTCACCTCAAAGATGCTTATTTCCATATCAGTATTTGTCAAGAGCATCATCGTTTTTTGACATTTTTGCTTGATGGGGTAATCTATGAATTCAAGGCTCTCCCCTTTGGATTATCCACAGCACCATGGGTGTTTACAAAATGTTTAACTCCGGTAACAGCCCACCTTGGATTGCACAGCATGACAGTATTTCCCTACCTTGATGATTGGTTGCTGGTGGCACCTTCATATGAACAGTTGGTTCAAGATGTTTCATTTACTTTCTCCCTCTTGTCTGATCTTGGACTCCAGGTAAACCGAGAAAAGTCCACTTTGTGCCCTACTCAAAAAGTCTCCTATATTGGAGGAGTTCTGGACGCCACCTAAGGTTGAGCATTCCTTCCCGAAGACAGGACTGCAAAAATCCAGGCGATACTTCAACACTCTCTTCAAGCGCAAAGATTATTAGGTCTGATGGCTTCCACCACTGCAGTGGTTCAGCATGCCAGGTTGAAGATGAGGTCGCTTCAAGCCTGATACCTGGCACTATATGATCCTTTCCTAGACCCCCCTTCCAAACTGCTGACAGTCATGGCAGAGCTAGCAGCACAGCTGACCTGGTTGTCCTTCTGACCCAATCTTCTCGTAAGAAGATCCTTTGGGCCTCTAACGCCAAAAATACAGGTGACCACGGACGCCAATCCAACAAGTTGGGGAGCGCATGTCCACCGATTGACGGTATACGGACTTTGGACACAAGAGGACTGCCATTTGCACATCAGGCTACTCAAACTTCTGGACATTTGCAAGGCCTTTTGAGCCTTTGAGCGTCTCCTCTCTGGCCGTGTAATACAAGTAGCAACCAACAACACCACAGCGGTCTTCTACATAAACAAACAGGGTGGCACACATTTGCTACGCCTCCTGTATCTCTCAGTCCAGATCTGGGAATGGTGCTACAACCACCATATCTTCCCTGTTGCTATACATGTGGCTTCTGGAGACAATGTTCTAGCAGACTGGCTGAGCAGGCTCCAAGACTGCAGTCACAAATTGTTGCTAGATGAAGCAGTATTCCTGTCTCTTTGCCACTGTTGGGGAACACCACACATGGATGTCTTCACTTCATCTCTCAAAAGGAAGTGCGACTGTTAGTGTTCCAGGGCAGGGATCGGTCCCCACTCGTTGGACGACACATTTATGGTCCCCTGGACTGGGGGACTCCTTTACATGTTTCCCCCGATTCCACTAATCCAGAAGGCTGTTGTCAAGGTGTGACAGGAGCAAGCAAATGTTATCTTCATCACCCCTTGGTGGCCTCACCAGACTTGGTTCTCCGCACTACATCAGGGCTCGGTGGACCATCTTCACCTACTGTCTCTGCTTCAACTTCGTTCTCTACACTTGGGCAAAATGTTGCACCCAGATCTGGAGTCCCTGCATCTCACAGCCTGGTGACTGGTCCTCAGTAGCAGATGCTCCATGTTCGGAGACCTTCCACAACTGCCACGTACACTCATAAATGGAAGGTGTTTTCAGATTTCTCCATCAAGAATCGCCTCCCCACATTGTTACAGTTCCTGCTTCTCCTATTTCATCAAGGTCTCTCACATTCCACGCTCAAAGTATATGTGGCCGTAATAGTGGCACATTAGCCTCCTGCTTCAGAAGTGGCCAGCTTATTCCGATACCTGACCCTGAAACAGTTTTTGAAGGGTCTGAAAAATATGCATCTGACCTACAAGCCACCCACACCTCAGTGGTCTCTGCAGCTTGTATTACGGAAGCTCATGTGTCTGCCGTTTGAGCCTCTAGCTACCACTTCTTTCAAGCTACTTAAGCTATATACAGCCTTCCTCCTTGCTATTACTTCAGTGCGACATGTGGATGAATTAACAGCTCTTCGGGTTGACATGCCGTTCCTGCAATTCCACCTTGATAAGGTGACCCTCTTCCCAGACCTCTCCTTTCTACCAAAGGTGGCTACGTCCTTCCACCTTAATCAACCAATAGTTTTACTTACCTTCTTCCTGAATCCAACATCAAACTTGGAAAAGTCTCTCCACTCCTTGGATGTCAAGAGTGTACTGTCCTATTATGTTACATGGTCCACACCTTTTAACTTTGCGACCCACTACTGTCTGGATGTCCGAGCCGAGGCAGAAGCTGCCGTTGGGAGCGCTATCTTGGCATCTGTCTTATTGTGATGCTCACCACCAGGTAAGTCAGCTTGCTAGTCATCCATTACTGTGCATTCACAGAGACCACGAAGAAGAAGGAGAGGTTACCTACCTGGAACTGGTTCTTCGAGAGGTCATCTGTGAATTCACACTCCCCGCCCTTTCTCCCCGCTGTTCGTCACATGTGCCATGTGTCATTCTACACAGCAGCAGATAGTTCCATGGAACTGAGGCACTTGGTGCCGGGGGCGGGGTATAGCCAGTGTGTGGGAGGTCCTGGTACCATGTGCTTGAGCTCTTGAAGATTCCAAAGCTGCTCTGTGCAGGTGCAGATTAACCCATTAGTGTGAATTCACAGATGACCACTAGAAGAACCAGAGTTACAGGTAGATAACCTCTCCTTTGTTTGATTGCCACTAATACATGCTGATCCTCTTCATATTTTTATATGGACCACTCATCATTTGTCAGAAGCAAAGCTTACAGGTCTGCTCTGAATGTACCCTTTGCTGTAGTGTAGTTGCATCACATTCTTAAAGGCTTATAGCTTTGAAGATATGTTGTTTCCATCCTTTTATCCAGCATAATTACTGTGTTTCAAATTTTGTTTCAGCCTTTAATGACTGTTGTAAAGAGAATGGTATTCTGATGACGTTCTCATGCCGAAAGGAAAGTCAAGCACTGAAATCCTGTATTAATGGCTAGTAAGTACAATACAACAATGGTCCCCAACTTTTTCTAAACCGTGAACCAGTTGGGGGGGCAGAGCACCCTCGCTCGCAGGGCGCACTCATGGTGGGTGGGGTGCGCATGCATGTGTAGGTAGGCAGGGCGTACACGTGCATGGGTGGGGTACGCTCATGAGTGGGTGGGATGCACTTGCAGGTAGGCAGGGTGCAGTCGTGCTTGTGCGGGGGGCAGGCAGGGATGGATGGGGCACCTGTGCGTATGGGGGAGTGTGCATGTGGGGGGGAGAGATCTGTCTCCACGACCTGGTCCTGCCAAGGCCAGGATATGGGCGTTGGGGATCCCTGCAATACAAGGAGAGAAACCCACAACAGAGAGTGATTAAGGGAAGAGCTATCTGTCATTGCTGCAAAGTTTTGTTCCTTTTGATTAGGACTAAATATATGCCTGATTTAATAATGGTGGCCACAGCCTTCAGTTTGCAAGACTAAGGAGGTCGATTTACAATAGGACTTGTGTAGGTGGACATGGGCGTTGGGGATCCCTGCAATACAAGGAGAGAAACCCACAACAGAGAGTGATTAAGGGAAGAGCTATCTGTCATTGCTGCAAAGTTTTGTTCCTTTTGATTAGGACTAAATATATGCCTGATTTAATAATGGTGGCCACAGCCTTCAGTTTGCAAGACTAAGGAGGTCGATTTACAATAGGACTTGTGTAGGTTACTAATTTATAGGGTCACTGTAAGTTGAAAGCAGCTTGAAGGCCCATGATAACAACAGATATATGCCCTTTGGAAATTTGTTAACTGGTCTTAATTTCATAGTATGCTGTATCCAAACACAAGGTGGGAGATATCCTTAGTACTACAATGACTACACATGAAACCTGCAGTGTGACCCATTGGGAATGACAATGGCATGATTATTACTTACGTTTATTTAGTTTATATATGAGAATTAACTTTTTTATCTTCCCAAGAGCTAAGAAAGACTTGAAACTTACCAATGGTACTTACAGTAGCACTGAAAAACTTGACAAGCATTCTAGATCTACAGGCATATATTAGAGCTTTAGCGACACAGAGAAATACTATGCATTAAAATTTGGCATCAGATATTCTTGCTAATGAACTGAATTCTATAGTATTACAATTGTCTGTGGTAAGCTGCCACCTCTCATCCCAAAGGAGCCACTAGTAAGTACAGTGGTGCCCCGCATAACGAGTGATTCATTTAACGACGAATCCGCATAGCGATGTGTTTTTTGTGATCGTAAAAGCGATCGCATTGCGATGTTTTTAATGGTAAAACATCGCTTTGCGACGATCGGTAAGCTGTTTTGCTTACCGATTTTCGCATAGCGATGTTTTAAAAACAGCTGATCGGCTGTTCCAAAATGGCCGCCGGGTAAAAAAATGGCCGCCCGCTGTGTTTTCACGCCCTTTCCTCACTTACTGGGCAGCGAAAATGGCGGCCAGATGGAGGATCTTTGCATAACGGTGATTTTTTTTGCCCATAGGAATGCATTAAATGTGTTTTAATGCATTCCTATTGGCTTTTTTGTTTCGGATAGCGACAATTCCACATAGCGACGATTTTTCCGGAACGGATTATCGTCGCTATGCGGGGCACCACTGTATTTGAAAGGAAAGTGATTTATCTCCCAGCCTGCTTGAGGTCAAAGAGAAAAAGACTCCTAGAAAATAGGCCAAAACAAGTAGCAAGTATGTATACATGCTGGTTAATTTTATCTCATATTGAATGTGTTAACATTTATTTATATTTGGCTAGATAGGTAAGAAAAGCAAATAAGGAAACCTAAAAGCTAATTTTTAAAAGGTAGACATGCCACCCAACAACATAGTTTCACTCTTTCTGCAACAATTATTTCAAGGATTGGCTTTTCTTTTCTTTAAAACAAAAGCCCACTTTCCTGGGTATGTACTACAGATCAAGCATTGTTGTAGTGTTATTACTCTTCCTGCATCAATATATGTAGGTATAGAAATCTTTGAAGGAAATAAAACTGGGCAAAGAAATTACTAGTTCTAATTGTCACATTTTGCTTGTCTTCCAGCTACAATGATCCAGAATTTGTCAAAGAACATGAGACTAAATATTTGATGAAAAAGAGTCAGGAACAGAAGCCTAAAAATTAGCATACACCTTCTTCCAGATTATAAATGCTTTTTCTGATCTTTTTGTTTCTTATTTGAAACATAAATATTTAAAAATGGAATTTAGAAGACTACAATATGGGACACCCTCAATGCACCTGATGGTATTGAAGCAAATGGAGTATGTACAGTATGCTATCATTTTGTAAATAATGTGCCTACATATAGGAATCTCCAAAAGATCCGGTGACTTGAGTAATAGAAGAACATCCAACTCGGTAACGAAATTCTTCAGTTTAATGTCAAGCATTCAGATATGAAACAGGTTGCCATAATTGCATTGGTGCATCTTGTGAATATTAATAATTTTTAAAATTCTACCTGATGTCCATCTTCATTTATTGGAATACTTGTTGTTGTTTAGTCAGTAAGTCGTATCCAACTTTTTGTGACCCCATGGACCAGAGCACGCCAGACCCTCCTGTCTTCCACTGCCTCCCGGAGTTCGGTCAAATTCATGTTGGTAGGTTTGGTGACACTGTCCAACCATCTTGTCCTCTATCGTCCCCTTCTCCTCTTGCCTTCACACTTTCCCAACATCAAGGCCTTTTCCAGGGAGTCTTCTCTTCTCATCAGATGGCCAAAGTATTGGAGCATCAGCTCCAGGATCTGTCCTTCCAGTGAGCACTTGAGGTTGATTTCCTTCAAAATGGATAGGTTTGTTCTCTTTGCAGTCCAGGGGACTCTCAAGAGTCTCTTCCAGCACCACAATTCAAAAGCATCAGTTCTTTGGCGGTCAGCCTTCTTTATGGTCCAGCTCTCACTTCCATACATCACTGCTGGAAAAACCATAGCTTTGACTATGCAGACCTTTGTCGGCAAGGTGATGTCTCTGCTTTTTAAGATGCTGTTGAGGTTAGTCATCACTTTCCTCCCAAGAAGCAGGGATCTTTTAATTTCCGGGCTGCTCTCACCATCTGCAGTGATTATGGAGCCCAAGAACGTAAAATCTGTCACTGCCTCCATATCTTCCCCTTCTATTTGCCAGGAGCTGATGGGCCCAGTGGCCATGACCTTAGTTTTTTTGATGTTGAGCTTCAGGCC